TTTCGCTCCTTGACTAAGTATGACATTATTTCCAAATAAAAATTCCTAAAGAAAGGACATGGAGGGCCTCCCCGGGGCGCCGGCGGTTGAGCGCGGCACTGTGAAGCTGTCCGCAGCCTCTGCAGCGCGGGCTCGATCCCCGGCCAGGGAGCAACCCACAGGGCGCAGCAGACTCGTCTCCCGCTGCTCCCCTCAGCAGTGGATTTCAATCAACCTATCTGTTCTGTTCCCCGCTCTGTCTCTGGGGACTCCTCTCACCCTCCCGCACGTCTGGCCCGTACCCCAGCTCTTACATACATAAATAAATAAATCTTTTTAAAAAAAAAAAAGAAACGACTTGCGGGTTCATTGCAGCATTGACCACCACAGCCAAGCGCTGGGGACAACCTGCGGCCCCACCCCGCCAAAGGCGAGGACAGCGAGGAGACGGGGTGCGGGCAGTGGGTGCTGCTGGCGGCAGGCCCGGGGGTACTGGCTCTAGACTCCTAGCCCCCAGCACTGTCAGAGAATAAATGTCATTTTAAACCAACATGTCAGGGACACTCTGTTAAGCAGACAAGACGTTAATGAAGTTCCTACAGACAGAAACCAAGCACCACCGCCAAGAGGCTGGAGCGACGGGACGGGCAGAGGGGAGGGGCCTCGGGAACGCGGAGCTGGCGGTGCGGTGAGGGCAGTAACCACGAGCCACCACTGCGCAGAGGCCTCCGGGGGGGTGGGGGGGGGGCGTCTCACTTCAAGGACGAATGCTCCCATGAGCCCTGAGTTCCTGGGCCCGCCCGGTCGAGAGACAGGCAAGCCCTGCTCTGGGTTTCAGCGGGCTGGCCGAGCCCCGCCTCTAGTGGTCATCCGGGTCCCGGCCAGCACGCCCATCGAGCGTGCACCTGCACAGACCTGGTGCCTGAGAGCCTGGCCGGGGCACGGACCTTCACAGCTGTCTCCCAAGCCCCCCGACAGCTCGGGGCGTGAGCGGTGCAGGAGGCTGCTCTGGCGCTGCAGGGGGACATGCCCCCCCTGGACCATGCCGGCGAGGGGAGACCGGGGCTCTAAGTGATGCGAGAGTTGAGGGAGCTGCCGCCAAACCAAAGGCGCCGTGAGTTATGCACCAATATGTTGAGCAATTACCGGGTGAGTAATGGACCGGGCCGGGCCTCCAGCTCATTCCCAAGGCTCTGAATTAACTACAGCACAGCCCTCTCCAGCTGGCTCCCCAAGTGCACAGCGAACAGGCCGGGGAGGAAGGGACAGTGACAGAAGCGCCTTCACCTGTGACAGCGACAGTCACAGATCTTCTAAGAGACCAGCGCAGGAGCGCCAGCGCCCCGCTCAGGCAGAGCCGCGTGTGCTAAGCTACAGCCACCAACCCCTCAGCGCTCTCTCTGCGAGTAAGAACAGAGCTTCACCCGCAGTCTTCAGGGCACTGCGGCCAGAAGACGCCCCTCGGGCACACCAACGTGCACGTGCTCGAAGGCGGGAAACAGTCACTCCGCAGAGCAGCCTCTACAGCCGCCACCCAGCCTTCACAGGGGAAGGAGTGGGCAGAAGGGGCGCCTGGGCACAGCGCGGGCCGGCTGCACCGGCGGAGGCCGCGGCCTGGCAGCTCCATCAGTCTTCGCCAGAAGGCCTGACATGTGACTCTGAGCGTCGGGCATCAGGGTGCTGGCTTGTGGAGGGCTGTACCCCAGCCACCAGGTGGTCAATCCTAACAGCCCCCGACCCCCTCTATCAATTTCAATTTCAAGACTTCTCCGTCTTCCCATCTAAGCCAGCTGAGCAGCCGCGAACAAGTGGGGTTGGCCTGCTGCGCCTGCGCATCGGGCCATGTCCTGCTCTGCCGACGCGGACGACACCGACAGGCGCCTGGACAAGCAGCTGCGGCGAGGCTGGGCTGCAGCGGGAGCCGGGAGAGCTGTCCCACCACGGAAACGCTGGCGGGTGCTCGAGGGAGAGCTTGCCTGCCCTTCATGGACCTGGGGCCCCAAAGAACCGAGCCAGGCCTCAGACGTGGGGGGCACAGAGACTCCTCGGCAGTAATCAGGGAAGGACCTGGGGAGAAGGCGAGTGGGACCCACGGGGCAGCAGGACCTGGCGCCTACTTCGGAGCTCTGGAGTCGCGAAGGGCGGCCACCCCAGGAGGAGACTCAAGGGGTAAATCGTGGTTGATCTGGATCCATTTCAGCTCGCATGGCGGCAGCTGCCCACCACAGCCATCACCCCCCCCGCCCCTCTGGGCCCAGCGGCGGCGGCGGTGCAGGTGTTCCTGGGGCGGCCTGCCCCCTGCATGTGCAGTCAGTGTGGGCAGCAAGGACCCGGCCCCCTACCAGGGCTCTGTGCCCTGAGGACTGGGCTGCTTCTGACCGAGGGGCAGCTCCCTGGGTGCGAGGCCCTCCCCCTGCTGCTGACGTGGATTCTAGGTGTGAAAAAGCTGGCGCCCTTTTCTCCCTTAGTTTGCCTCCTCTTCCACTTTCAAAAAGCAGACACTACAGAGTAAGACAATCAGAAGCAACCGCACAGGCGGGCAGCTTGGAAAGTGACTCTGCGTGCCAGGGCGGTGCGCAGGCGCGTTTCCTCGGGCTGGTCCGACTACACTCCTTTGAGCCTACAACACTCGAAAGTCAAAACATCAACAAGAAACACCACACCCTTTGGTAGGGAGCGATTTGATTTCCAGAGTTCCAATTATTACACAAATGTCCAGTGTTCAACAGCAACCACAAAACCTCCCCTGGCATATAAAGAATGATGAAAACGTGATCCAGTCAAAGGGAATAAATAGATCAATAGAAATCTAATGGCAGATACATGGTGGACAAAGACTTTAAACAAAGTGTCTTAAAGATGCTCAAAGAGCTAAAGGAATATGTGGAGAAACTCAAAATAGTGTATGAAAAAGATATCAAGGGGAAACCTAAAAAAACATTCTGGAACTAAAATGCAAAAATCCACGAGAGGGATCAAAAGCAGATGTGAGTCGCAGAAGAATCCGTGAACTTGAAGATAGGACAATGGAAATTATCAAGTCTGAGTAACAGAAAGAAATCAGGCTGAAGAAAGGCTGACAGAGCCTGAGGGACGTACGAGACGTCCCCAAGTGGGCCAACACACACATTGTGGGCGCCTCAGAAGGCCGAGCGTGAGACAAAGGGGCAGAGAGACTATTTCAAGGAATAGGGGTGGAAGCTCCAAACGTGAAGGGAGACGTGACGGCAGAAAAAGCCTGATGAAATTCTTGTAAGGCCCACACGGAGACACTGAAATCAAACCTCGCAGAGACAAAGGGATCGTCTCGAAAGTCACAAGAAGGAAGCAAGGGGACAGGTGCCATCAGGCCAGCAAGCTGCCTCCAAGTAATTCAGAGAGGTGGTGGCAGAGGGTGAGGGCCTGGCCGCGGCCCCCCCAGCTGAGGGCCAGGGGGCTCCTTTCACCGTCCAGTCGCTTTTCTCTAGGCCGGGTCCCCATCATAGAGAAGAAATGGAAGAAAGAGCGAGACTCGGCGGCCAGCTTCCAAGGACGCTCCGTCAGGGAAGCGTCCACTCCCCCGCGGCCCTGTGCTGGCCTGGCGGGGCCCCGCCCACGAGGGAGGCGCCCCGGAGCCCACGCCGGCGCCCCAAGGCTGCTTTCTCCTCCGCCGTCTGGACCCGTCCGTGCTGGGAATGCCTGATTCCACTTCAGCGCCCAACGCTCACCCCATTTTCATCGCTCCACACAGCAAGTAATTTGTGTGGAAAATCATTTCCTGCGCTGGAACATTTCCTTCCCAGATTACACTGAAGAAAGTGCACCAGATGACAGTAAAATGGAATCCAATATTCCATGTTAAGATAAACCTCCCCATCAAAAGGGACGGACGCGTCATGACACAGTGGTGTGCCGCGGGCCCGCCCGGCCGCAGCCGCTCAGCGAAGGGTTAAAGCGACGACGGAGGACACCTCAGCTTTGGCGTGCAGACCTCAGCATCGCAAGCAAATTCTAATTAACATCCTTGAGGGGACGTTATCTAAATGTAAATGAGGACGGCAGAGCCGGGGTGCCCTACTGCCCGCAGCGGGGCGTGGAGCCAAGGCCACAGCTTCACCTGCGCGCAGCCCGGGACACACCTGAGCTGGGGTCTTCTCCCCCAGGAGAGACAAGCCCGTCCCTCTGCTGGTGCCCACCCCAGGCCCAGCACCCACACAGCCAGGCGCTGTGCCCACATGGCACGTTAGCTGAAAGTTCTGGTCATGAGGAACCACAGAGCGGGGAGCAGGGGCTCCTGGGATGGCCGTGACCAGGCGCTCAGCAGTGACCAGTCTGTCCACCTGCCCAGGTGTCCATCCAAGGAATGTCGAGCTGCACGGGCCTGAGGTGCAGACGCGGGTGGTCAGCGGCTGCCGCCAGAGCCGATCAGAAAACAGACAGCGCCCACGCGACAGCCCGCTCTTCACCCCAGGCTCACCCCAAGACCACCGCCAGCCCCCGTCCCCCCACCAGCCGCGGCGATGCTGGCAGCCCAACCCCAGAGGGGGCTCGGAGCTGCTTTCATTTTAACTTCCTTATGAAACGGATACTCGCTTTCCCAGAAAGAGAGTGACCCTCACCCACAGCGTGACCCGGACTTCCCAGAGAGCCCACCTCACGGGGCAGCCTGCCTCCGCGTCACAGCCCCCGCCAAGCGCTGTGAGGCCTTCCTCTCGCCATGATACAAACACACCTAAAGGGCACAACGAAACACTCCGCCACCTGCGCGGCCTCGAGCCCCACTGCGCTGACTGTGGCGTGAGACGTGCCTGAAACTGGCCTGTCGTCCAGAGGACCGCTGACTCCCTATTTCTGACCTAACGCTGTGAGCCGCAGGCGCCCGCGCTCCGACCACAACGCTGGAGGTGCTGGTGACGAGCTCGCCGGGCAGCAGGTGCTCGCGGGGGCACCGTCCCTGCTGTCGTCACATGCTGGCCATGCACACAGCTGTGGGGGTGCCCGCGGGAAGCCGGGCAGGCGCGGGAGCCGCAGGCTGCTCTTACGTTGCCGTAGGCTCCGACGGGGCCGTTAAACACGTACTCCAGCTGGAAGACGACGGCGAAGGCGGGGTGACAGACCATCTCGGGGAGTCGCAGGCGGCTCCTCAGGACCAGTGCCTGGTCTCCAGAGCTGGGTCAAAAACACAGAGCAGGATGGGTCAGCAGTGGCCCCTGGGGCCTGCGCCCACTGTCACCCCAGGACTGGTGCTGCTGGAACCCCAGGTCCCCGAGCTTTTCTCATGTTTGGCCCCCACGGTCATTCCCCAAACCAGCGCCCCGATCAAGCACCTCAACTGCCAGGGCTGCACGGGAGAGTGGAGGACACAGCCAGGTCCAGGGAGGCTGCCCCCGCCTGGCGTCAGAGGAGAGGGGGAGCAAGGCAGTCCTCGAGGAGGTGGGGAGCTGGGGACCACCCTCTGCTTCTCTTAGCAGCCAGAAGCATCTGTGCTGCTTATTCCAAAGTAGTCACAGGACAGAAATGGCCTTTCCCAACCTCCCGGCCCTGAGGTCTGCAGCTAACGGGCACCCCACAGCAGGAGACAGCCCCGGCATGCACCCAACGGGCAGGGTGTCCCTCTCGTCTCCACGCCCACCTGTGCCGTCATCTCACGGGCAGGACTCCAGAGCGCAGGGCATACCTGGCCTTGGAAGAGGAGCTGGCTCTCCTGCTGAAGCTGGCGGACCGCGTCAGGGCCACCTCCATCTCGGGCACCAGCACCACGACCTGTGGCCTCTGCACGAAGCCCAGCCCGCTGTGCACCCCCACGTGCAGCCGCCGCTCCGTAATCTCCAGGCCGGCGCCGTCCCGTGGGCCAGCTCCCTGCGGAGGCACAGGTCAGACAGGGTGAGCGTCCAGGCTGAGGGAAGGGAGAGGCCGCTGGGGAGGAGAAGCCGTAACAAGCTGCAGGCCTTTCAGGAGCAGCGGGGCTTGATGCACAAGTCCAAGCAAGGGACAGACATGGGCCCCCGGAGCCCAGCGGCCTGGGCATCTTCTGGGTAGTTCGGGTTTCCTCACACAGCAGGACACCCCTTTAGGTGGGGAGTCACCAAACTCTAGTTCTTGATTCCCAAAGATGAGCTGACAGTTCTCAAGACGCAGCAAACGGGCAGCCAGACCCATGGGTTCTCCCACAGGACCCAGGCTCCTCGGTGGAGGGCTCCCGCCCCGCCCCGGCCTGCCCAGCCGAGGCTGGGGTCTCTGGGGGCAGAATCAACACTTTCCCTCCCCCAGGCCCAGGCCCCGAGACTGGAGGCGGGAGGGCGCAGGAGCGTGCTCGGGCATCGCATCAGACGCCAATGGCGGGTCTGCCCAAGTGCGCGCTGGGTGAAAGCGTCTCCTCTTGACAGAGCCGCGCAGGCTGCCCACAGCCGGCCAGACACCCTCGCGCTGTTGTTGTTTATTAAGTTATGTGATCACTGCACAGTGATCCCTGAATTTTCAAGTTTCCTCCATCACCCATGAATCAATCTGAACGGACCCAAGTGCAGCTGTTATTAGCCGCTGGGTAATGAAAATAAGACGGCGGAGATAAGTGAGTGTCTGTCAGCGGGGGAGGAACAAGAATTCAAAGATAATAAAGCACGTAATAAAGTGCTTTTTATGGGAACGTATAAAACGCAACAGCGATACTCTCACAGCGCCGCTGCCTCGCTGAGCAGGAAGAGCACAGCGCGGCGCCCCGGAAGCCAGGCCGCGGCTCGGGCCCGCTCTGCCCGGCGCCTGCCCCGCACCAGCCGCGGCACGTGGGGCTGCACTTTCGAGGATGGGAAAAGAACAAAAAAGTTCATCTCATTCACTCACTCAGGTGTGCGTTGGGGGGGGTGTGAGTGTGGCGTGTGTATATTTGAGTGTGTTATGTGTATATGTATATCTGAGTGTGTTGCATGTGTATCTGAGTGTTGTGCAAGTGTATTTGAATATGTTGAATGTGTCTGAGTGTGTTGTGTGTGTATTTGAGTGTGTTGTGTGTCTGAGTGTGTGTTATTAGAGTGTGGTGTGTGAGTGCACTTTTGAATGTGGTGCATGTGTGCTTTACTGTGTTGTATGTGTTGTGCGTGTATTTGAGTGTGTTGTATTTGTGTGTGTATTTGAGTGTGTTGTGTGTGAGTGTATTTAAGTGTGTTGTGTGTGTGAGTGTGTGTGTGTGTGTGTGAGATGAATAATTCGCCGACTTCCCAGACCATGAGGATCGGCACCAGCTGATTCAATCATTGGCTTTCACAACAAGTAAATATTGAAGACCTACTACGTGCTGGCACCGGTTTATGCCCCTTGGAGGGGGGGGTGGTGACTTGAGCCCCTGGTGTGGTACTCAGGGGCCCGGCGGTGAGCCAGGGAGGGACAATGAACGACCAGGAGACCAGGTGCCCACAGAGGGATCACACCTGGAGAAAGGAAGGTGAGGCCTAGACCACGAGCCTGGTGGTGGCAAGTGGCCAGCTGGGCGGCCAGGTCTGCAGGGCACCTGAAGCCACCCCAGAGGAAGTCACAGCTGCAGTTTGAGGACGGGGTCACGACCCCCAAGGGGCGGCCTCCAGGCACAGGTGGGGATCGGGGGGACAGGAAGGAGCTCGCCCAGAAGCAGAGCCAGCGTCAGGCCAGGGCCCCCGCAGCGAGCTCCTAGGGACAAGGGGACAGCGGCTTCCAGGCAGCCCCTGGGGATGAGCCAAGCATCCTCACGATGTTATTTGTAAACGTGGATTCTCTGACAGACTTCCCCACGCTCCCTTGGGGAGTTAACTTACTTTTCCACAAGGCGTGTTTTTAACACGTCAGAACCGCTGCTGGTTGTATCTCGGGGACAGCCCCTCTGCCACTGTCACACTGGGAGCACAGGCTGGGGCGTCCCTCCACCACACCAAAGGGGGAGACGGGACGGCGTCCCCAGCGCTGGGACCCAGCCCGAGACCCCAGAGTACCTCCCGGAGGTGGTCGCTGGCGAGGAGTCCCAGCAGCTCCTCCTCAAACTTCTCCAGGGAGGGGTAGAGCGTGAAGGATAAGGCGTCCACGTGCCCCGTGACGGGCTTCTGCAGGCGAGGCTTGCGGAGGGCGTCCCCTGGAATGAGAGGACGGGTCGTGGGAGGCGGCAGTGGGGCCACCGCAGGACAAAGCAGGGCAGTCAGAGGCACAACAGTGACTGTCCCCTGCAGCCCAGACGCCCCCTCCCCCGGGACACACTTTAGAACTTGGTGGTTCAGTGAGGGCGGATCCCAGGATGCTGACGGCCATGCCTGGTGGGCCTCCCCTGGCCACCTGCCGCCCCCTGACCAGAGCACTCAGCACGGCGCCCCCAACACACTGGTTTCCATCGAACCACTGGGGACATGGCAGCGGCTCGCCCGTCCGGAGAGGGGGCCGTTCCTGCACACGCCCACACAGGGGTGCCACAGACCGGGCTGAGGGAAGCCGCCCAGGGCTGCCCCCACTCACACCAGACGGCAAGAACCATCACGTTCACGGGACAGAAGCAGAGGGGCCAGGGCCAAGACGGCTGAGTTTTGGTTTGGGTGATGATGAGAACGTTCTGGAATGCACGTGGAGCTCCAGAGGCGGGCGTGCCTGTTGCTACCAAAGCCCACGGGGCAGGCGTTTAGAGCCATCTCTGTTCTGCTCAACCACATTGGGGAGCAGCGCCAAGCATGGCCCTGGCGGGAAGCACAGTGACGGGGGCCTGCTGGCAGCGGTCATCAGGTCCAAGCTGCTCCCCAGAAGGCCGGCGGCGGCCCTGCTCCAGGTTGGACTGGACAAGACACTCATGTGTCCTCACCTCCCGCCCCCAGGCTGATCTGGGGCACAGCAAGGCCCTGCCCCACTGTCCCGGGGGGCCCGTGCCTGGAGGTCGGCGGCATGAGCATGCAGGTGAGAGGCCCACCTGTGTCCCCGGAAGCGGGCAGGAAGCCGGGGGTGAGCTGCAGGCCAGACACCAGCAGGTTCTCGGGCAGCAGGTGGAGGGCGGGCTCCAGCGCCGGGTGTGGCTTCAGGCTGTACTGCAGGCGGCAGCCCTCCACGAGCTGCATGTGCTTGCTCTCTGCGAAGGAGACCCGGGGGCAATGGACCAGAGGCGCCTGTGCCAAAGCACCGACCCGCCAAGGATGTAGGAAGGAACCCACTAGCAGGACGCGCGCTTTTCTGGGGAGAAGGGAACGGCTCTGCCAGCTCAGCCACGAAGTGGAAAGTCCATCTTGATGACTCCCCGGAAAAGCCGCAGCAAGAAGCACTGGTTTTCGGGGGGCTAGAGGACACCCCACACACACCTGCCTCCTGCATCTCAGTGTTCACACCCCTCCAGCCCGGGGAGCAGGCAGTCCCTGGGCAGCAGCCTCAAGACAGCCCCGTGGTGGGGGGAGGGTGCGTTCTGCGGTGACAGCCGGCACTCAGGTTCCCTGTGGGGGCCAGTGGCCAGCAAGGAGGCCCCACGTCCCCCAGCAGCGGAACTGGGATCCAGGGAAGGAGGCCGCCAGCCTCGCCCCACCCATCTGAGCCTCTCAGGCCGTGGCTCCAAGCCTTGGAACTACATCATCATGAACCACGTCAACAGCCCAGGGCAGGTTTTGCCCAAATCTATGAAATAAAAGCACTAAAGCTGGGAAAGGTTTTCTCTGAGATGCCAAGACCAGGCTAAAAGCGGCTGATGAGGACAGGGGCGGGGTGGAGGGGGGGTGGAAACGTGGACCCGAGATGCTTACGTTCCACGGGGTCCTGGAGAAGCGGGTGCAGCAAGGCCCTGGGGGTGCCATGGTACAGCCTCAGCCTGCAAGACAAGGCCCACAATGCCACGTCAGCCACGGCTCTGGCGTGGGGCACCGGATGCCAGGACACTACTACAAGGAGGGGGAAGGTCACACCCCCTGCCCGAGCCCCCTGCACTCATGGCCCCGGCCTCTAGCAGCCCACCCCATGGGACCTGGTCCCAACGCCAGGGCCCCAACACCCCGAGGGGCCAAGGCCAAGTCAGAAAGGCCCCGGGTGTGTATCCAGAGCCACTGTGGGGGGGCTGCCCCCCAGGGGATGTTGGGCAAGCTCCAAAGGCATGTGGGGCTATCACACTGAGAGGGACAGAGCCCAGGGCACTGCCAGCCCCATGGAAGGTGCCCCAGGGACCGCTGACCCCAAGGAACGTGAGCCCCCACAGGCCGAGGGCCCCCCCGCGCTCAGCCATTGGTCTGTCCGGCTCATGGACACACGCCCATGCCCCGCACGGGCCCCCACCCTGCCGCGTCATAACACCCCAGCCTGGCACATGCTCCATCCTCCTGCGCCCCAGTGTAAGCCCCAGGCCCGCCCACCCAGCTATAGCCCAGCACCGCAGCCGAGGCGCAGACTCCGTCCACCCAGACACCTCAAGCTGCTGATGCCGAGCCAGGCCCCGCAGGCGCTGGCGTGAGCGGGGACAGCAAGGGGACAGACCACGGGCCGGCCTGTCTCAGGAGAACGCGCGGGAGAGGCGCCAACCCACAGGGGCAGCCAGTACCATTTGTCCTGGGAAGCTGAGGTGGGAGACGCGGGCTCAGCGCTGAAGAGCCGGAGAATGCCGAACCCACACGACAAGGGCTGCAGGGTCCCGTCCCGCTTCTTGCCTCGGGCGACCACTTCCACCACAGCCACGATGTTCGGGTGGTTCAGGGACGTGTGAAAATACAGGGGCTGCGGGCAGAGAGAGAGGGGGCGGCTCAGGCCCGCGAGGGGACGGTGGGACGCGCCAATCTGCAGGAGGACGCCGCGGGGGCCGCCCCGTCCAGCCCCACCCATGTCTTCCCGTCACATGCCCCTCGGAGACCCTCCGGGGAGGGGAGAGGGCAGGGCGCCCTCGGGTTGGCAGCCGGGGTCCTGCTTTCACCCCAGTGCCCAACACCCAGGCACAGCCGCTGCTTCTGCTCCAGACTCCCCCCGCACCCGAGATGCCGGAGGGCTCCAGGGCCCTCCGGAGGAGGAGAGGCAGAGGTGCTGAGCCCGCCCAGCCAGCGGGACCCCCCTGAGCCCGCTGGAGGCCCAAGTCCCTGGAGCCACAGGTGTCACTGAGCCCCGTGACCTCCCACGCCAGCCCGGGAGGGGCCGCTGAGCTTGTCCAAGCTAACAGGCTCCCTTGAGTTCTCGGCGCCGTGAATCATCCCCAGCTCAGAACAAAACTAGCGCTGGTTATGGTGACCACCACCTGGAGGCCACTTTAGGACAAGCACTTGGGGAGTAAAGGCGCGCGGGACTGCTCCAATCGCTCTCCAAAGGGTTCCCCCATGTGCTGCCTCCGCCCCCACCCCGTGCCCCCATCTCACCGGGGCCACCCGGGAGGACAGGCCACCCAGCAGGGCGAGGGCGCCCGCTCCCCGGGGGGACAAGCCACCTCCCTCGCTGCTGTTGCTTTTTGATGTCACTAAATGGAAAGCGGCTGCTTCAACCTGAAAGCAGCAAACGCGGACGCGGAAGACCGGCTGGGGCACCGACCGCATCTGGTCCCCAGAGTCCGGCGTGATGCCAAGCTGTGGCTCGGGGCTCAGGCGGGCCTCTGACACCCGACATCCATGCGGGGGGGGGGGGACAAGGCCGGGTGTAGGGTGCCAGCCGAGCTCCAGGCCCCCCGCCAGGGCGGGGAGAGGTGAGGCAGGCCTGGCTGAGCCGCTGCTGCGAAGCTGCAGGTGGAGCAGCCCCCCAGGAACGAGCCCTTCCCATGGTGTCACCCAGAAAGCGTTTACTGTAATCACAGACTGTCAGCCCGGGATAACAGAGAGACACATTAAAACATCAGCCATGCGATATAAATCGTTATTCTATTATCCTTTATTGCAAAATGATGAAATAATGACCACTTACAGCTGACAGGTGGTTGGACCAGGAGAGAATTATGCTTCTGTTTCCGAGACTCAAGAAGCGTTTTCAAAAACCCCGCTGTAAAGCCGAGTTTGTCACCGACGCACCTTTTTTATTTATGCCTGCGCCCGGGGGCGCCCTCAGCGCGTTTCCTCCCGGCAGTAAAGCAGACATTTTAGTAGCAATCGCCCCCTGGCTGAGGGTCACCTTGAAACTGCTATGAAGGCGGAGGGACCGGCTGCCAGGGGCAGGCCCCAAGTGCCCACTGACCGGGTAGCCACTGTCTCACCCTTTCTTTTGCCACCAAAAAGGATCGCTCCAAAAGTGACGCCCACAGCCCAGAGCCATCCTTCTGGCCTCCGACCCCACTGCAACCGGGGTGGGGCGCTGGGGTGCAGTGGTTGTCCCGAGTCATGACCGTGCTCTTTCCCGAAGCCACACCAACCCCAGGGAGGGGACAGCACCACCCTTGGGACGGCTAAGGCATCCTTAGCAGAAGCAGGGGACGGGGTGGGGGCTGCAGGTGCAGAGGGAGGCCTGTGCCCCAGGCCACGGCCTGGCGCCCGGCTCCAGGGGCCCCGGCCGCTGCCGCCTTTTCCGCTGCACTCTGCTGAGCAGAGCCGCGAGCCAGCCCTTCAGACTAAAGGACATTTAATTAACGCCACAATCCACGACGAGAGGAGCCTCCTATACATCAGCCGAAACCGCATGATTAAAAGTTCGAGTCAAGCCCATCACATTACCGGCAGGAGAAGGCACTCGAGACGGAGCAGGGGGGCTCTCTTTCACCCCACATCACATCTCACGCCTCCACATTTGACGAGTTTCCTCCCCGACAGGATAAACAGATTAATAAATCATTGAAATGCTCCTGTCTTAATGCCTTCATCTTCAAAAACACAGACACCATTTTGCCTCAGGCCCTAGTCTCCATTTTTCACCAGCGATGACAGAATCGAAATTGGGCCTCTGGTGATGTGCCTGGACGGGGAGGCTACAGCCCACATTCCCCTCACCCACCGCTCCCCGCCTGCCCTGAGCGGCACCCATGGGCAGCGAGGAAATTAAGGCAGCACTTCCAGAAGTGCTGTTTGAGACAAACCTTTAAGAGAACATTTTAGGGAGTCAAAGGGCTCCCGAATAATCCGTGCAGCTTCCACCCGCCAGCTCACCCCAGGTGAGGTTCAGGCAGTCTCCTGGGGAGACCGAGCACCCCAAACCCAAGAATGCTGCTAAGCAAGCTCTCCTCCGGGAAAGCCAACATCTGGAACCCCAAAATCATCACCCCCCATCCAGGGCAGGGCCCCAATCACCCACAGTGGAACAGCACAAGGCTGGTGGGAAGTGCCGGGCCCAGGTGCGGCAATGAGGTGCCGGCAGAGGCCCTGTCGCTGAACGGCCCAGCCAGCACCCAAGGCCCAGCCAGCACCCAAGGCCCAGGACCCAGCGGCCCAGGCAGCTCCTCAACTTTCCGAGAAGGGCAAGCCCGGCCCCCTAACCGCCCCCCCACCCCAGGCTGAGGCCCCCACGAGCAGTGACAAACACTCACAATAGAGGGTTGGCCTCATGGTCCCCATCAGCAGGAGATGACCCTCAGGGCAGAGGTCACCTAGACACTACTCTCACTCCGCTTCTGCCCAGCACCCCCAGGAGTGGGCTGTGGAGCCCAAGAGGGAGGGACATGCCGAGGACGGTGGCGGGAGCAGCCCTGGGCCAGTGGGACACTGTGGCACAACTCCCCGGAGTGAAGGGGCTTCCCCAGGCCACGTGTGTCCCCCGGTAGGGCCGAGCGGCCAAGCGGCGGTGCACAGTCAAGAGCCAGGGACTGGGACGGGCTTCCGGAATGTCCCCGGGATGAGACGGGATCCAGACAGCCCCACCTGCCTGACAGGGGCGACTCTGCTGCAGAACGTCTGGTCAGGGGAGGGGCCCCGGGAGTCTCGACGGGGCAGCCGCTGTGCCGGGGCCCGTGAGCCAGGCGAGGGGGCCAGGGGTCGCGTGGCCGGCCAGCGCGTCTGTGTCCAGGTGCTCCACGGGGACTGCTGCCCGATCACCCTCGTCACATGCAGCAGCAGGACAGACGAGGCTGTCGCGGGGCGGCTGAGCGTGGTGAGTTAAGGAGAGGTCATCGGGGAGAACACGTCCACCTCAGAGAGAGAACGCGGCCTGCACGGTGCCTTGAGCTCCCCGATTACCTTATAAAGCTGCTTTCAAGAGGCTGAATGAATTGTTAACCACCTCAGCGGAAGGGGAGGACGCGTCCTCTCCACCCAGGGTCTGGGAGGGGAGCAGGGCTGGCTGTGCAAGGCGGCGGGGGGCGCTGCTGAGCCCAGTGGGGACGGGAGCCGGGAACTCGCCACCACACAGCTCACAATTCAGGTTCAAGGAGACTGCACTCTGCAGAGCCGCCTCCGGACACTGAGGGGGACAGCTGTCGCGGGCTGAGCACCCCTGGCAGCCCAGTGCGCCCTGGACAAGCATCTGGGTTTAAGCCCACACCCAGGCCCACAGCCCCGCAGACTTGAGCACTGCAGCCTCAAGCCGGTCACCCCAGTCCACTGCTGATGGGCAAACCAAGAGGACACTGGAATCGGGAAAGATCTCCGCCAATTTCCAGAATCACTCCCGAAGCATTCTTTCGCTCAGTGTCTGTGTCTGCTTCAGGCGCACATGGGGAAGGGAGCACTTTAGTGCACCAAACTTGCACAAAACCCATTTTCCTGTGGCCTGGGGGGGAGGAAACGTGAGGCCGTGCGGGTACAGGAAAAGCTGCTCTCTGCCCACCCGACAGGCTCATTCCTGGAGCAGCGCTGGCCTCTGCTGCCGGCTGCGGGCATAGCAGCCAGAGAGGAGCAGACACGGCGTGGGAGTCGCCACCCACCCCACTCTGCCGGTTGCACCCTCTGCTTCAGCAGCCCAGAAACTCAGGGGACTGTGCAGAACGTCTGGTCAGGGGAGGGGTGTCCTCAGCAGACACGCGAGGAGGGTAGCAGAGGCTCAGACTAGGTGACAGACTTCAGTCCCCGCCTTGATGTGAGCGTGGAACTGGGAGTGCCCTGCACCCACCCTCCCCAGGGCGCCCACGCCCGCCCCTGGCTGGCAAGCCAGGCACAGCTTCCCCCAGTGCATGGCAGCAAGGACAGGATTGTCAGACCCAGGCAGCCATCGACTTGGGGCACATGTGACCTCAGGGACTGCTCCCTCCACTACACCTCCTCTGTGCTGCAAGGGCCACAATAACCGCACCAGTCCTGATGGCCCAGGCCTCCCCACACGTGACCCGCAGCCAGAGCCCTGTGGGGTCCAGGCACCCCAGATGGAAAGCTCAACTTGGGGGAAGACACGACGGTGGGGCTTGTTCTGGGAGCCCCGTAACCACAGAGCACCCAGGGCTGGTTTCAGAGCACAATCCCCTCTGCCACAATCCGCAAACCTCCCAAAATGGGGAACACAGGCCCCCTGAACTAGGGGCTGCGAGGAGCCAGGGCCACTGTGGCCAACACACCGTCTGTGCGTCCACCCTCCGGCCGCGGCCTCAGGAGTCACTCTTGGAGGAGGGACATGACAGACGCCCTCCCAGAGGAGGGACACGGAGGTGGCTGTGTCCCGTCGCCTCATAGCTACTGTCTGAACGGTCACAGCTCCGGCTCCTGGGGCCTGCGGAAAAGAGCTAATGGCAGCCCTGGCTGGACACGCCCAAGGCAGCAGAGGCGGGACTGGGCCACCTCTCCCTAGCATGTCTCGTGGCGGGCATGCGGCTATCTGCTGAGGTGAGGCTGGATGGTACAGTCAGGAGCCCGCAGGGAACAATGCTGGTCCCAGCACGAGGCTGATCTGGGGACGCGGCTGGCCAAGAGGCCCCGGGGTCATGTGCAGCGGCCACCTAGCATCAGGCGCACTGCTGTGGCCGTCACGGGCTGCCCTGCCGGGGCAGCGCACTCTGGCTCAGGTGACAGCGACGTGACAGAGCTCCCCGGGCCCTGGCCCCAGGACGGCTCAGCAGAGGGGACCTTCAGGATGTGGCCACTCATGGAGCAGAGGCCAAGGACGGCAGAGCCACTGCCTCACTTCTCAGAACAGACACCACAGCACCAATGTCCTGGGGCCTGACCCTGCAGAGAGCAAACCCGCACCAGACGCCCCCTGAGCCCTGGACCCACGCACAGGGAGCCCACCCAGCCCTGCGCTCCACCAGCCCGGTGCTGTGTTCCCAGGCCAGTCTCACCCACTGAAACCACTGCAGGGAGCCCATCCATCCCCCACCTGCGCCCACTGTGCCCTCCCCCCACCTCCCCAGTCCTGGCCCCGCCCCCATGTTGCATCCCCTCTCTCCCCCCCACCCCACCTCCCTCAAGCAGGCCTCCCTGAGCTCAGGAACAGCAGCACTGATCTCCTGAGAACTTAGCACAACTTGGAATTCCTTGGTCTAAGACCGATGGAGGGCGTGGCCCCAGCGGCCCTGGCTGCAGGTGAGACCACACCACCTCGCTCACCATCACCGCCACACCCAGCTGGCATGAACATGTGCCTGTGGCCTTGGTGCTGCTGAACCAAGAGGGAAATGCCCCCTTTGGGGTGGCCACAACACTGATACGTGAGCACAGTCATGCCATTGACCAGGCTGGCAGCGGGGGTGGTGCAGCCGTCCAGGCTGGGGACAGAGGCCAGCCACCCTCTACCTGTGTAAGGTCCTGCCACCCTCTACCTGTGCAAGTCTCTCACCTGAAAATCTCAGACCAGCCTGGCGAGGCCTGGGTCTGCGGCTCAGCCGTGCTCCTGGGGTTGAGATGTACTGGTGTGTCCCCAGGCCAGCGCACCCCGTGGCCCGGCCCACACACCCACTGCCCCCAGAGCAGCCCGCATGGTCATCGCCCACCTCATTGAAGACAATCCTGGTCGGCTGCCGGGAGAGCTGCTCAGTGGGCCGCACTGCAGTCTGCCAGGTCCTCCCGAAGAAGTGTCGGTAGGTGACATCAAAGAGAGACACACGCAGCTGGCACCCCACCTCCGACAGCACCTCCAGCACTCCCTGGGGGACAGAAGAGACCAGTCCTGAAGGGTCAGGGGCCACCCCGCAGTGCAGGGTCCATTCTGGTAGATGTGGCCACTAGGCCTCCATCGCTTGTTCAGGTGTCAGCTTCCTTTCAGGGAACTACCTCTCCTATGGCCGTGTCTAAGTGGAGCTCTGGGGTCAAGTGCTCGGCCATCTCCTTGTCAACCAGAGCCCTGCAGGGCCCAGATCAGATTCGCCCGGAGCCAACAAGACACAAGAGGCCAGCGCCGCAGACACAGATGCACCAGACACCATGGAAGCCAAGAGAGAAAAGTGTGGGTGACATTACAGGAGATCCTGGATCAAGCCATACCTGAAGCTTAAGCTAACTATGGACTTGTCGGCTGTGCGAGTTAGTAAATCACCTGTAGCTTACACCCTTTGGAGTTTTCTTTTTTAATCATTTGCAACTGAATAAATCCTTCCCCATAATAACCACAAACTCTAAATCCTCAACTTACCAGAATTATTCTGGGGTGATATTAGCAAAGAAAAGCAGACTCTGAGGACTGAGAAGTGGACCGTGAGGACTGGCTGCAAAAACAGAGCAGCCAGAATCTGCACAGACGGGGCCTCCACCTGCAGCGAGCTGCTGCCTCGGCGCTCCCGTTGCCAGCCCTGTCGGTCCCCAGGACCAGGCCGCGGCTTTTCTTTCATCCATTCACTTAACAGACGTTAATGAGGCCTCTCTCCTGTCCCAGGCGCCAGAGACACACCAGGGAACAGGGGCTCCCGTGAGGAAAATCAAACACGAGGAGACGGGGGACCCCTGTATCAGGAGGCCAGGAAGGTGCTTTGGCAAAGACATGTGGGGGCTGAACCCCAGGGAGTGCGTGGCCAGAGGGAGCAGCAGAACCAGGCCTGCTGGGCGGCACCTGGTGCAGGGCAGGGGAGGCCCCACGTTGCCGGGTTTTGCGCTAATCTCCATGCGGAAGGCCAGTGCCTGCTTCCCTGTGAGGACCTGCCTGGCCGGGGTCAGGGCCACGAAGCGTCCCTGCCCCCTCTGCTCTCTGACTCGCTCTCACATTGGTATCATTGCTTCCCTCACTATTTTACACAACTCAACCGTGACATCAACTGCGTCTGGAGTTCTCTTTGGGGGAAGCTGTTCAGTGGTGAATTCCATTTCTTTGGTGAAGATAAGGCTATTTGGGGCTTTCCCATCTCCGGGCACTTGGGGTAAGCTGCGCTTTCCAGGAGAGGGTCCGTCTCTTACCCAGCTGCCAAGAAAGATGAAACGGGGGCCTCTGGGACAAAACGGACGGACCGTGAGGTCATTATGTTGAGTGACATGCATCAAAAAACTGAAAGACAGATTTCAGCCGGTGTTGCTCACCTGCAAACTATAAATACCCAAAAGACAATGACATGCAAACAACCAAAGAAATAACAATTTGAGCTCAGCAAAGAGAAGATGGAGGTTACCGGGAGGAGGGCAGGGTGGGGTGGAGGAGGGAGGCGGGTGGCAGAGGGCCCGGGTGGTCAGTGGAGAGGAAAACAGCTACGTAAGTAAATAAATGGGGAGGGGGAGGAATAAATCTGTCCATTTCGTGTTCATCACCAGCGATCCCCAGCACCCTGGTCCTCTCCAGCACCCAAGGGAGCCTGTCCCCTTCCCGCCCGGGAGCCTGTCCGCTCTCATGGCTCAGTCTTGACGGGGTGATCGAGCTCACGAACCCTGTGAGAGAACGAGTTTCTAGCTTTGCTGATTTTCTTTATTCACCCTTTGCTCAGTCCTGCGTGTGGTTACTACTCCCCCCACTCACTCTGGTTTCTCTGGTTCTTTCTATCTGGATTCTCGAGGACGCAGCAGAGGTGACTGACTTTGGCCTCGGTGAGGCCGTGCGAAGCCGTGCGTCCCCCCAACGGACAGCACCGGCTGCATCCCACAAGTACTGATGCTTTTGCTTTACTCGGCTCAAATTATTTTCTGATTTCCCTAGGAACGCGCACGGCCCCCGGGCTGGCAGGGGGTCTTTGAACTTCCAGCCGTTGGGGGCTCTAAGGGTCAGGCTGCTTTGGAGAAGGAATTCCACTTGCAGGGATTAAGCTGGACACGCGTGCACGTGAAAAAGCTACTGCAGGTGACGCTGCAGCGCCTGTAACAGCGACGACTAGACAAGTCTGAGTCCACAGCAGCTTGGGCAAGAAAACCGAGGCTCGTCACGGGCGAGACGGCGGCACGAGAGCTATGGGGACGACAGCGACCTCAGAAAAAAACTTTCAAGGGGCTCCCCAGTGGCGCAACGGTTGAGCACTGGGTTGCGGAGCTGCCCGCAGCCTCTGCAGCGCCGGTTTGATCCCCGGCCACCGGGCGAGGGTCCCACATGGCACGCAGACCTCTCCTGCCGCCCGCTGCTCCCCTCAGCAGTGTATTTCATCAGTCTGCCTGTTCTGCTCCCCGCTCTGGCTCTGGGGAATTCTCTCACCCTACCACCCTTCTGCGTACCCAGTGCTCGTATAAATAAATAAATAAATCTTTAAAAAAAAAAAAAGAAAAAGAAAAAAACTTTCAAAACAAAAAGCAAACGATGGTTCATCCGCACAGAGAAACACCCCCTCTGTCTCAGGAAAGAACAAGTTCTTCACACAGTGCCGGGAACACTCTCCTAAGACAGGTCGTCGGGAACATTTCTTTGACGGCAAGAATACAGCCCTGTGCCATTTATGCCAAAAAACAGGGAGGCAGGGGGAGAGGTGCACATGAGTGTATTTCTGGCATGTGTTTGGATTTCTGGAAAGCTGTACAGAACCAGTTGGGGTGGGGCGCAGGCCCCTTGGGGACACGGAGGCTGATACACTTTCCCAGGTGCCCTTGTGAGTTTTGCACTATAAGAACTACCTTTCCAGAAGTAAAACAAAATGGGAAAATGAATAAAATGTTCCCCACAAAAGCAGGAGAGGAGGGGAGGAGCCCACGTCCCTCTTGAGCGCTCCGGGGGTCAGGGTCCAAGCAAAAGCCAGGTGGCCTGGCCCCTGCTCCACGGCGCTCGGCTCGCTCTCTCTGCTGCACGGCAGGGTGGTGACACACACACTCACAGACCAGGGTGGGCAGGGGTCAGCACCCGCCAAGGGCTGAGAAGGGACGTGCAACGGCCGGGGCCCAGCAAGGGGCGGACAGACAGCAGGCACCCATGCAAGGGCTGGCACTGAGGGCTGGCGAGTGGGCATCACAACAGTGAGTTGCCCGCAAGCCCTCAGCCTTGCACGCACAGAGTCCACTCTACCAGCTGCCAGGGTGCGTGGTCCAGCCCAGCCAAGCACTGTCGGGGGCCCTGCGTCCACGCCGGCAGCCTGGGTCCTTTCCGTGCAGCCCCCGGGCCTCTGTGGACAAACCGGCCCCGCGGGCCTGCTGGGAGAAGGGCGCAGGAGCACCAGCCTCTGGCGAGGCTCCCTGCCCACCGGAGGGCACAGACGGCAGGGCCACAGAGCCTGGCCCAGCACACACAGGCCGCAGTGTGGCCGAGCCTGGCTCTGCCCTCATCCTCACCGCCAGGCTGAAGCAGGCCGCGCCGAGCTCTGCACAGGCCGCACTTGGCCCGGGAGCCAACAGCCTGGCCCGGGAGCACCCGGGAGAGCAGATGGCCTGGGCCTTCCACTGCTCCCCTGGGGCAGAGGGAAGCCCTCGTCCGGTCAGTGCCCAAGTGCTGACGGGGCTGCTGAGTCGTGTGTTCTCTCTGCTGACCGGCCACTCTCCCCTGAGCACTGCCAGGCCCGGGGTAATGGGCACAGTGTGGACCCAAACAAGCCAGTGAAATCAATATCGCCCCCGCGGGGAGCAGAAAGGACGCGCATCTGGCAGTAAGCAGCAGACTGTACCTGCTTGGCGAGCGGCCCCTCGAGCCCCTTCAGCACGCACTGAAACGCCGCAGACTCCCGTGGAGGCTGGCGCGCCCGCTGCGGGTGGGGGGGCACCAGCACACTCCGGTCAAAGACTCTGTGCCAGTCATTCATCCTGCGGGCCTCGGGGTCACGCGGCTCCTGGGTCACCTGCACCTTTCGTGTTCAAATACAGAGAAGGGGTAAGGGCCACAGAGCTCGAGAGATGCTGACAGCTTCTGGCTGCCCGCCCAACCCCGCAGGGACCACCCTCCAGAAACCCTCCTGCGGTCCCTCCCCGCAGACCTGCCGCAGTGGGCTGACGCAGCTGGCCCCACTCCTGGCCCCAGAGACCTCTGCCCTGGCCTGGCCAGTGGGGGGACCAGCACAGGGAGGGGCCGCATGTGCTGCAGGGGAGGCCGGACACCAGGCCTTGGGGCCAGGGTGTCCAAGAAGGGACCCTCGAGCCGAGCAGGGTGAGCTGCAGGCGAGGAAAGGAGGGGGTGCTGTGCTCTGCACCCATGGAGCAGAGGGGTCTGGGGCCTGAAGCTGGGGGACCACCGTGGGACAGCCCCTTTGAGACTCAGAATAAAAACAGGCAGAACAAGAGCAAGGGTCCCTGGGGGCAGCGGCCTTACAGCCCTGGCTCAAGGGGACCGAGTCCCCCCATGCTGAGCCCGGCTCCCGCGCCCAGGCCGGTCTGGACAGGCTGCGAGGTCCTGGCTGCATGCTGAGCTGGCGCCAGGGCTATGGGCTGCTTCCAGCCAGACTGGGCCCAGAGTCTTCTGCAGATTTCCACCTGATAGAGGCTCGAGACCGTGGCCTTGGTGAGAGGCAGAGTGGTGTGTGCTGAAGTGACCAGCGTGGACAAGGGTCCGGTCTGGGGTGGCAGGTCTCAAATGTGGTTCCCACACCCCCAAAGTTCCCCAGACTCCATCAAGGGCTCCACAAGGCCAAGGCCATGACCAGGCATCCAGATGCCCTTTGCCTTTCTCACTGCCCCGGCACTGCCCCGGTGGCACCAAAGCCACGGAGGGTGAAGCGCCAGCCATGGGGTCCCTCTGGGCTCCTGGCCGCTTACAGGAGAGCTCCCGCGGTCACCTAGGACGGCCTGCAGAGCCTCGATGTGTCAGCCTGGGCCCTGAACACATGCGCTGATAACACAGCGTGAGCGGGACAAGAAGCGCCACAGCACCTTCCTCGCCGAAAGGAACAGCGGAGGCTGGCCGCTCAGAATGCTCAGGACGCGCTGAGACGCGGACGCGACGCGCCCGTCACTGCGAGGGAAATGTGTATAAACCCACCCGCGGGGCGAAGGTGAGGCTCGGGGAAGTCTGGATCCTCCACCGACCGCCTCCCACCCTGCCCCAGGCTTCTGACAAGGCGGCGTGGTGACAAGGCCGGGCTTCTGGCACCGTCTGACTAACTGTGCCAGTACCTGGAAGCCCTGCCTGGAGGAGCCGGCATCTCCCAAACGCACCCACTGGCCAAAAGACAGAGAACGTGGTTAAGCCAAAGATGCGGCCGGGTGGGGGACAGACCCAAGGGCAGCTCTGAGAGCCAACCCCGCAGCCGGGTTTGGACTTCAGGGGAAAAAAGAGAGCGCTGGCAGTTGTGCAGACGCGCAGGTCAGGTTTAAACCTGGCTGGCTCCACTAAGCCCCCCGCACCGGGGGCCCAGCGTGAGGCGGCTGGGCGGCTGGACACTGGCGGGTTCTGTTCTGAATCCTGAGCTGGGTTTCAAATCAGATCAAACAGGCCCAAGCTCCCAGCCCCAGTGGGTCAGCGGCTCCGGCACCCGTGAGGCCTTGGGAACAGCTGGCTGGGAAATAGGTCAGTGAGGTCAGAAAGGCGGGCGCCCCGAAGGGGTGTGAGTGGAGGCTTCAGAGAGGCTTGAGGAGGCTTGGGAGAGGCTTCGGGAAACCCCTTCGGCGTCGAGAGACTCGGCTTGACGCCCTCCAGAGGTGACCTTTGACTCAGACCATCATAGACCCTTGCGACCTTCCTTCAGTTTCACGCACTGGGGATGCTACAGGCCTCTGCCTGGCATCTCTAGATGCTGTAAACACTGGTGTCATGGTCCTCTGGCACCGCCTCTGAGAGCTGTAACACGGCCCAGCGCCTGGCACTGCCCAGCCTGGCTTCGGATTGCTACCACGCTGCTGTTGTGAGGCTCAGCAGTGCCCGTGACCCCCAGCGGCCACAGGCTGTGGAGCCTGGTCCACCGCCCCCACCATGTGTTCCCAGCTCGGGCTCCCATGGGGGGACAGTGTCATCTCACACGTGCAGCTTCCAGTTTGGGCCACTGGACACAGTGGCTGTGCTCGGGACAGGCCAGGGGGACCTGTGTGGCCGCAGGGGCTCTTCCTTTCTCCCACCTCCCTTTGTGATTAACCCTGTTGTTGCCTCAGATTGAGCAGCGTTTTGCATTGTGGGCGCACAGGTAAGGACCCACAAAGCGTGAGATCTCCCCAAGCTCTGCTGCTTCACTTGGAGTCCCACCCCACAGGAATGACACCCCAATTCCCCACATCCACACGGCTGCTATGTGAAACCCAAGACACCCATACTGGGTTTTGTTCTCTTTAGGTATTTTTGCCTACTCAATACACCTTGTTTTATAAAAATGACACTCCTCAATTCCATGTGTGGGGGCAGCCCCCAATTCTGGCCAGAGGACTTCAGAAATGGGGTCATAGATGAACAGGTGACCCACATTCTGCCAATCAAAGTCTCCGTGCCCTCAGGACAGGCTGTCTCCCCAGAGGCTTGGCGCCTCAGAACCCCTGCCTCCCAGGGAAGGCCCAAGGTAGCGCTGGGAACCCCATGAGTGACTCAGGAGATGGGAGGGTGGGGAGCCGGCTCCAGGCAGACCAGTCTGATGGAGTGCCGCCCCAGCTCCAGGCGTCCAGACAGGCCCTGGACAGTGGACTAAGTGATGGACCCACAGATGTGCCCACCTAATCCCAGAGCCTCCCATGGCAAGGGGACTCTGCAGGTGTGGCTAAATTAAGGGTCTTGAGGTGGGAGAATATCCTGGATGATTCAGACGGACCCCAAGGGCTTCAGAAGAGGCAAGCAGGCGCATCAGGTGAGCAGGAAGACAGGAAGCAATAGGAGGGCAGAGCCATGAGCCAAGGACTGCAGGTGTCTCAAGGAGCTAGAACCCACCCCACCTCTGCCCCCGCCAGAGCCTCTAGAAGCAACGAGGCCCTGACCACACCCTGACTTTAGCTCAGGGAGACTGATTTTGGATTTCTGCTGCCCGCTGCCCAACAGAAAGAAGATGATTTTTGTTAAGTCACCAGGTTTGTGGCTAATCTGTGACTGAAACCACAGGAAACCCATGCAGATGCCCAAAGCCCACAGCAGAACAGGCTGGCAACTGCAGTGCCACATGCCCAGGACGGCTGCTGAGGCTCCCAGGGGCAGTCCCCAGCCCCAGGACCCCTGTGCCTCCCTTACTGCCAGTCTCGTACTGACCTGTGCTGCCTGCCCAATTGCTTCATGCCTGGCTCACACGAGAACTCAATAAATATTCACGAAATCGTATCAAAGTGCCATAAAGTTAACTCCCAAACTTTTTTTATTTTTTCAGGTCTCCCGTTGACTTTCATTATAAAATGGTGTCATTTGTACAACAAAGTGCCAAAGACCAAGTTTTCCCAGAGCAAGTCCTTCCCACCTGGTTGAGCCTTCACTCACGGAAAAGTACCTACCAGTGCCAGGCCCTGGAGACTGGGATACAGCAGACGTATGCCGCCCGCCTTCAGGGAGTGAATCTGGAAGGAGGCAGAAAGGAGGACAGGTCAGCACACAGAAGACACAGTGGCCATCAAGTGACCTATGAGAAGGTCGGCGGGGAGGAGAGGGTGCAGGGGGCAGGGAGGTGCGGGTTCAAACTGAGTGGAAGCCACACGTGTCTAAGGAGCTCCTTCTCCCACCACACAAGCCCGAGAGGCCAGACTCCCTCCCTGTACTGCACCAGACCCGCCATGGACACGCCAAGGCAGGAGCTGTTGGGGCGGACGGCACCTTCCAGAGACAGGCATTTGAGGGTGGGCCAAGGCAGGGCCTTTGAGGCAAAGGAGGGGCCGCAGGATAGCGAGCAGTGGAGCCACAGGAGGGGCCCAGTGAGTTCAGAATAGGTAGGGGGGCCTCCCTGGGGGCTCAAGGGGTTAAGACGCAGCACTGTGACGCTCTCACCAGCCTCTGCAGCACGAGTTCAATCCCCGGGCAGGGAGCTACCCGCACCGCACGGCAGACCTCCCCTGTCTCCTGCTGCTCCCCCAGCAGTGGATTTCAGGGGATCCGCCTGTTCTGCTCCCCGCTCTGTCTCTGGGGAGTCCTCTCACCCCCCGCGTCTCTGGCCTGCACCCCAGCTTTTGTGTGCATAAATAAATAAATCTTTAAAAAAGAAAGGTTAGGGCGGGGGTCGGGGGGGGGGGACGGCGGGGGGAGGGGGCGCAGCAGGGAGGGGACCCGCCGCCCCAGGCGGAGCCGGGCCGGGCCCGCGGACCCTCAAGACCGCCACTGGGTGGCGGCATCGGCTGAGCCAGCGTGGACAGCGGCCCGTGGGCCCCGGCGGACCGCGGCACCCGGGGGGGGGTGGGGGCCCGCTGGGGCGCCCACGGCGCGGGCTCCCTGGAGAGCCGGGCCCGGCAGTGGGGGGCACCCCGCGGGCCGCGCGCCTCAGCAGCCCCGCCGCCCCGCGGTCCGGCGAGAAGCGCGGCGGCCAAGCCCGCGGCGGCCCCAGGAGCCCCGCACCGCGCCCGCCTTCCGCCGGGGCTGCCGCGGGGGCGCGGGTCGAGGGCAGAGGGCGGGTGCTCACCCCGGGAGCTCGGCGGCCGGGCCCCGCCAAGTGTCCAAGCTGGGGGGCCGCCGAGGCGCACCCAGTCCCGCCCCGCCGCCCGCAGCACCGGCCCCGCAGCCACGCGCGGCGCCCCCCAGCCCCCCGCGACCTCCGGGCCGCGCCCCCCGCCCCCGCGACTCCGGCGCCGGGGCCCCGCCCGCCGCGGCCGTTACCTAGGAGACGGGCCCGCCGCGGCCGCGCCGCCCGGCTCCAGCGGGGCCCGCGCTCTCGGGGGCGCCCGCGCTCTCGGGGGCGCCGGCACGGCGGCTCGGAGCCGGCGCCCAGCGGAGCCGCGGGCCGGGCACGGGCCAGGGTCGCCGGCCGCAGCCGCCTCAGGAGGAGCCCCGGAAAGCGGCGGGCAGCGGGCTCCGGCCGAGAGCCCACCCGCGTCAGCACTGTCGTCAGAGCGGGGGCCAATCAGGAGCCTCAGGGGGCCCGGCTCCGCCGGCTCCAGCCAATCGGCGCCGCGGCGGGGCCACCCTGCTTTGCATAGCCGGCGAGCCCTCCGCCAATGGGGCCGTGACCGACAGGAAGAAGACCCAATGAGGAGCCGTCGGGGGCGGGGCCCCAGGCGTCCCACGAGGTGAAGATGCTGCGGGCGGAACCTGGCGGCGCGAGCGGGCTTCGGGGGCGCTGGAGCCGCTGGGCCGGCGGGAAGGAAGACCCGGCGCGGGAGCGCGATCCGGAGCCGGAGCCCGCAGGTGAGCGCCGCGGACGACCCCGCGGGCCGCGCTGGCCCGGCCGTGCGCCCGGGGAGCGGGGCGGGCGCCCCGAGGCCCGCGCTGAGCCCCGGCGCCTCCCCCGGCGCGGCCCCGCGCCCGCCGCCGCGCACCGCGGCGCCCGCGGCTCGCCTCCGCCGGCCCCCCCGGCCCCCCCGGCCCCCCGGCCCCCGGCTGCGGCCTCCCCTCCGGGGCCCCGCCGCCCCCGCCCCGCGCCCCCGCCCCGAGCTGCGGCCCGCGCCCCGGCGCCCGCCCGCACCGCCGCCCCCCGCCCCCGGCCCGGCCCCCGCCCGGCCCCCGCGGCCCTCTGCGCCCCGCCGAGCCCTGCGGGGGGCCCGCGCCCCTCCCCGCCTGCCCTGCGGCCGCCCCTCCGGCCGCCCCTGCATCCCCCGCCCGCTCAGCCCCGGCCCGGCCCCCACCTGCCCCGCCCGCTCCCGGGACCTTGACGCGCCGGACCCGACCCCAGGCCCGGCCCCTCTGCAGCCCCTCCTGCTCCCCACCCCCCGACCGGCTGCGCCCGCTGGATGCGGGGCTCCGGCCCGCGCACCCCCTCCTGTGCCGCCCCAGCCGGGGCGCCCACCCACCCTCCGCCGGTGCACCTGCTCCGCTGCTCCTGGCATTTGTCCTGGGGGCGCCTGCGGGGCTCCCCTCGGCCTGGAGCCTCCTGGGGGGGTTCCAGGTGAGAAGCCCCGTAACACCTTGTCCTGCCTTCCTCCTTGGCCACCGTCGCCCGCCCCACCCCACCCCCTCGTCCCTGCTCCGTCTCACTTTGTGATTCAGCATTTTTGGGGTTGGTAACTTTCTCTGCTTCCTGGCATGACAGGACCTGGCCGGGGGCCCCATGGCGGGGGATCTTGACCCAGCAATTAGCGGGGGTCACCTTAGGAAACGGACCTGAATTGCCAGATCATGGGGCCGGGGTGGGGAGCCGGGGACCCGCCTGCTGGGGCTCTTTTCCACCCCTTCTCTGCCTGCCCTGCGTTGAACCACATCCAAGGGGAGATGACATAAGTAATAGCTCTTGGGGAAATGGGCTATTAGCATTTATGGAAATTAATACATCTACATCCGAGGAGCGAGAACACCAAGTTCGGGCCACAGCTGTCCCACTGTCTGTCATTTCAGGATTTCTTCTTTCTCTGCAACTTCTCCTCCCCCTCAAAAACACCAGCCCCTGGCAATGTCAAGAGCAGCTCAAGCTCTGCTGAAGAGACCGAATTCAGCCCCTAGATGCCCATGCTGCAGGGCTTGGGGACCTGCGTGTAGCGTTGCCCCCACCTTCCTGGCTCTTGCCTGGGGAGCGTGTTCACCTGCAGAGTCCAGGCTGTGTGCAGCGCTGGGCTTCCCGGTGCAGGGCCGGGGCACACTGGCCCCCTGCCTGGCACAGGGAACGGCCCCGAGGTGCACACCGAGCCTCCATGGCTCAGGCTGTTTGGGCTGCAGCCTGCTGGGGCTTGCTGTGCTGTCCTTGCCGGCCCACGACTGCTCTAGTCAGGGCCGGCGGCAGGGAGGGTGTGAGACACGCGAAACCCGAATCTTGCGCTGCAAACCCTTTTGGATCTGGACGAGGAGCCCGAATGGGGAGAAGTGGGCATGGGAGTCATGGCCCAAGGAGCTGAGGCAAGACCGGCACCCTTGTAGCCTGGCGAGGGCCACAGGCTGGGGCACTGGGCCCGGAGGGGTAGGGCCGGACAGCTCGAGAGGCTTCAGCTGGTGCAGCTGCGTTCCTTTTTCATTGCTCTTCCGAAGCGCAGATGATTCAGGAGGAAGTGAGTGGCACAAAGTTTTGATTTGGCAGTTTCCGCCAGGGGCTGGGCAGGAGGCCTCTAGAACGTTCCTGCTTGAGGGTGCCAACCGTGGCAGCTGGGATCATGGAGGGTGGTGGATGGTGGGGAAGGCCCACCCCTTTGCAGCCTGGGGAGGGGTCTTCTTTCCAGGACTCCCACCCGAAGCAGCGTGTATCTGGCCCTCGACTAGACTTTCGTGACCTTCACGTCACCAGAGGCGCCAGCGTCCTGGAGTCCCACATGCGGGCAGGACAGGGCAGCTGTGGGCAGGACTAGCTCCGAAAGTGTCCAGGCCTGAGTCCCCACACCTCTCTCCAGCCCTCTCCCCGGGGCCAGAAGTTCCGGCCTCATAGCTGTGAAGCATCTACAAGGGGGAGGAGGGGCCACTGCCACCTTCCCCCTCAGACACTGAGACACCCAGAGCAGAGGCTTCTCCAAGGTCACGCAGAGGCAGGGCCCGAGCCAATGTGGCCACCCAACACAAAGGCTGCTTTGGAGGCATTGCTGACATGCATGGAGGGACCCGAGCTGGGGTGCCTGGGTCACTGGGGGGCAGTGGGAAGCAGGAGATGCCACCAGCCACAGAGAAGTCTCAGTGAGTCCACCCTACCTGTCCTGGCCAGCCCCAGGGTAGACATTGTGGTTCCAGAGACGGGGTCAGAGATGGCAGGGAGGGGGAGCTGAAAGGAGAGGGGTTTCTGACACATAGGGCTCACCACGCGTCCTTGTAAATAAATAACCTGCCAGGAGGGGAGACTGAGGCACAGAGGGGTGGCAAGAGTGCCCGTGAGGACGCCATCCAGGGCAGGAGGCAGGTGCCCTTCCCTGCCCCGCTCAGCAGGTGCCAGAATCCCAGGCTGCATGAGGATTCAATCCCAGTTCCCCAGGGACACGGGAGCCTTCTTTATGAAGGGAGATCCCTGACAGTCAGCCCCCTGTCACGCAGGCCTCTCCCCATTTCCTTGGAGCAGCTAGGAAGAGATGTGGTCTCTTGGCTCAATCAGAAGAACAGGCCTCCCCAGGGGAGAGCACACTCTAGGGTGGGGTAGAGAGGGGATGGTGAACAGCGCCCACCTGCTCCCCCTGCCCGCAGGGGCGAGGCTGTCTGCCCAGCTTGGCCAAGGGGAATCTCCAGGGGGACGGAGCAGGGCTAAGTCTTCTCCTTCACAACACCCTGAGGCTCAGATGAGGCTCACCCTCCCCTGTGTACCTGGGGATGAGCTCTGGGCCCAGCGTACCCCCAGCCTGAGGGTCCCCAGCTTTCTAACTCAGGGACCTCAGCCGGCCACTCCCTGCTCCACCAAATGGCCACTCACTTAACCAAGAGAGCTGCGGTGTGGCGGGTGTGATGGGGGTGTGTGTGTTTGGTGTGATGTGTGTGGCGTGGTGTATGTGTATGTGTATGTGGTGGAGTGTGTGGTGTGGAGTGTGTGTGGAGTGTATACATGTGTGTAGTATGTCGTGTGCCATGGTGTGTGTGGTGCGCGTCCCTCGTTGTAGAGCCAACCCCCCGTGCCGCATCCCGGCCCTTGTAGCACTGGCTGTCTTGACAGGGTGCAGGGGACAGGTGCTGGGGAAACAAAGGGTGGGTGGGGCTCCCTCCTTGGCCTCTCCCATGCTGCAGACCCTGTCCGGGCCCCTTCCCCACCCTGATCTCGAGC